ACTTCTTTCATTGCATTCAGATCACGACACAAATATTTGGAACCCAATTTACCTGACAGAATCATAGGTACATCGTCCGCTTCATTCAGCATTATCTAAAAAAAAATTTTTTTTAATTCATTGTTAGGTTTTTTTATGGTTTACTTAACTGAGTCACGAGTTAAGATTAGTTTTCTTATCGTTATTTAGGATGGCTCATTAATGGCAACAGTGCTGTAGAAAAAATAGTTTTTTAGCAGTAAACAAAAGTCGAAACCCTCTCCGTATTCGCCTAGTACAGTATGAGAGATGAAGGCAGTCTGAAGGTACTTGAATGGTACAAATGCTACAGTAACTATCGGCTGGCAAACTCGTCGACGACTCGCTCCTTCGGGGCCTGCTTGCATAAAGTCTGATGGTGGGCTTAATTCCTTGGCACATGCCAGTAATAAATTACCATCAAAAAAAATGTTTGGATCGAGGAAGGATTAGTTGTCTCACTGGCGAAGTCATTCCCTCAAGATCTATAGCACGAAAACAGTGCTGCTTCCCACCACTTTGCCATTACCGCCTTAACAGCAGCCGTTTGATCAAATGTGAATATTTCATTCATACTGTGATATTCCCCTTTGCAGAGACGCCTACAGCAATCCTCAAAAAGTAGTCATCGACAGCTTTTTTTTTGTGCGCGATTACGATCTAGCGCTTGGTCATTCTTGAACGCCTTTGCCCCTAACAAAGAACAAACTATAAAAATGATTTCGAGTTTTGACTGCTAAATGCATGGCATTTGTGCCAAACGTTTGGAAAACATTGGAAATATTGAAATTGTTCAGGGCAAACTTTTTTTTATAGCAATCAAAAGAAAACCTTTGCAAGGCACATATACTTAAGGGCCTTCACTGCATTCGCCTCGTCTCCGGCATTGTCAAAATTTTCGAATGCCTCGTAGAAATATGAGTAGGCAGTCTTGAAATCGCGATCATCAGCCATGTTCAAGATTCCGGATTGGATGTCCAGCTGTGCCTACAAATAAGTAATGCAACAACACGTCTCATACTTATTGCTGTTAAGACGGGCATTTGCATTTCATCCTGAACAAAGTCCAACCTGTCTTCTAAAAGATTGGACTATTCTGGGTAGGAACTTTCCTCCCAATAAAAGTCCGGCAAATTCCGATAAATCCTGATATCCTGTTGCTTTTTCTGTCCAAAACAATGACGGAATATCAACTAATCGCTTAGCAGAATAAAGAAATCAATAAGGAAAGTATGCTCTAAAATTGGAAAAATAATTTTCTTCTTTTCTCATTATCCATCTTCCTTTCCACCTATCTTTTTTTTCTTTTTTTCTTAGATCAAAATCCCGAAATAACGAACCTGTAATCTAGTATCGACGCATAAAGAATTAGCGATTGTACGTGCGCTCACCAACGCTGTCTTTGCGCGGCTTAAATTTTTGAGAGCAAATGCGGCCTTACTTTCTTCCAAATTCACTTCAAGTTGAACGTCTTTACTGTGGTGCTTCTTTAATTCGCTGCTTAATCTTGCGCCTTCAAACTGACTCGTAATCAGAATCAACGAAAAAGCTGAATTTTGTATAAAAGCGACAATTTTGGTAATATTAATTCAATCCATGCATGATCGCAAGCCTGGAATAGCTGTGTCCGACGTGTGGAAGTATGCCAGTAATACCATTAGTGGGGCATATCCACGCTGACTGCTCGAATGGTCTTGGTATTCTTGATATTCATTTGACCCAAAGGAACAACCCAGCTACTGCGTGCAAAGTGGAGACAAGCGGCGCAGACATAATGCTTCTACTTTTTACAGTTTACAATGACCAATTATTAACAAAAATTTTTAAACGACAGAAGTAAAAAGTTATTTGGTAATCAGTTAATAAAAAAAAATTCTGCAAATAACACCCAGAACAGCAATTCCGCCTAGTCAATCAGTATGCTATCGTATGTTAATATTTACTGCACATAACTCTATACTGCCGCCTTCCACTCAATACATTAAAAACTTTTTTTAGGATCATAGTAACCCAAACACCAGTTTGACTTTAATCTGATTTTAATTTAAGAAAAAACAATTTTCTTCATTGCATTTTACTGATTTCACCATATGTTTCAGTTTCATTAAAATACCGCTCCTAGGAACACCTAGGTTAAGTTGTATACCGTACACGCATAAATATTATTATAAATACTAAAGACCAGGTCAGAGATAATGAGTTGCCACCTGCGCCCTCCCTGACCTCACAGGCTACAGGGGGTAGCTTTGATCGGTCCTCTTTGTATCGAGTGGAGGTTGTTACTGATTTCAAGTACGCAATTCAAAATTGCTTCACATTTCCACGATTGACCACCATACCTTGTGGGTCTAGTTGTATTTGTTGTACAGCACTTAACAACATAGGTTACGGTTACTCTTTTGCCTCTGGTAAAAAAATTTAATATAATTATATCTTGTCTTGGATCTAGACTTTACTGTAAAACTCAAAACCTTGTTTATTGTTTACTTGCACTAAATGTGGTATAAGTTGGTCAAACAAAAAGAACACTTCAAGTCAGATTTGGAGAACATAGATATAATGTTGAAAAGAGAAAATCTACAAATCTTTACTCACATTTTTATACTAATAATCACTGTATAAAAGACATGCAAATACATATATTACAAACAGTCAAAAATGCTAAAAACTTCGTCGAAGCAGAAATTTTTTGGATAAGAGCACTTCAAGCACAACAATCCCTAGGTCTAAATTACAACATTAAAGGCTTCGGAAATATATCTTGTGCAGATAATAATAATTTTAAATATATACCTTATTTTTCTTTAAAACTACCACGCTTACCACGAGAAAACGGAAGAAGACGATACAGTTCAAAATTTATTAATTATACGTTTACCAATGATTGCCTTACAAATTGTCTATATGACCGTCTGTGGTTTAAATGGTTCCTCTCACGAATACATAATGAAAGTAAAAAAATTGGCCAACGCACGGG